TTCGATACATTTCTTTTTTATTCCCGTTTTATTTCATCATGTACGTATGATTCAGCTGAAAGCATCGGTGATGGATCGCGTCCGATGGCGTTCGTCGTTCGATCTTCGGTTCGAATATTCGCGGGTCTGCACGCGAGGGTCGGGATTTTTCTATCCGTGTTTACAAATTTCGCGATTTGATCGTTTCGCCCTTTGTGAAAGATCGCCTGATAGTTTTGACGGGCCACGCTATGGAGAGGCTCAGGCGATACGCAGTTCTGTTGCGGATCTTTCGGTGCGGTATTCCCACGGGTCCGTCCTTGACTTAGAGTATCACGAGAGGCGCGTTCTTCAGATCACCGTCGCGACGAGAGATTGTAATTAGCAGGATCGTCTAGGCATGCAAATTTTCGCGAATGATTTCGGGGCGTGTTACCGTCGCCTTTCGTGCTTGATTCATCGTAGAATAATTCGATAGGAACCGAAGTGTCGCGGTCAGCTAATACAGGATGAGTCACCAAACCCTACCGTCTTGGACTCCTCGTGAACTGTTTATCGTATGAAAAAATGTTGGAAACGAATGTTGTGTGATATCAAAATGTGTACAATATATGAATCAATTTTGTTTTTATTTTGCTCTTTCATTGAGATGCGTTCAATGTTATAAACCTATTAACATTTAGATAAGAGTATCGAACACTAAGTAAACGACTATTCAACAACTAGACATTTTTTAGACGATATTTAATGTAAGCGACTCTAAGAATCTCCGTTTCACTCAAGAATACATGGGTACATTACTAATTTTTTAAAACATACACTTTAACAGCTCTTTTATTTTTCCACGTTACTTCGGAAACTCAAGACGACACTCGTATTTCTACAAAAAAGACTCACGCTCTCTTTGATGCCACACGCAACTTTTGTTTGGAATTGTTTTTTACGTGACAAACAGTGCGCAAGCGATTCAAGTCAGTTGAGTCAGGTGATTCATCTTGTATAATCCAGAACGAAGAAGACCGTGTCCGCGGACATTGAAGACAGGATTATTCCATGTCCGTCTGTGATATTTATGTTTTTTCATTTTCCAAAGGAAGCATCTACAGACGCGGCGCACGTAGATGGAGGAAGCTGTACCGAGTGAATGGTCATATATTTCAGGCGAAACGTTTCAATCGGGTAAGCATCATATTCTCATTCAATTACTAACCTCCACTCGCCTTCTCCACACCTTCTATCTGCTCCCTCTCACCCATCTAACCCTTACCGACCCTCTCCGCCCGCCCACGCTTCTCGCTGCTCTCGAATATAATTTCACACCATCTTTTTCCATTGTGGCACGAAGACGCACACCGCTACCTTGTTACACAACCGACGTTTTCTAGAAGGAATCTTCTTGGGTCTCGGATAGATTTAATTCCTGATAAAAGGAACTTGCTGGCTAGTGGTCCCCGGGAATTATTCTGTGTTTTAACGGGTCCCGGTACCCGACTACAATCTCTTCTTTCACTCCAACCACCGGGGTAATGAGGGCGGTGTAAGTCGATTTCACTCGGACGAGGACGGATAAGAACCAGGAGAATAGGAAGGGTTAATATAGGATGAGGTTTCCAGGGTGTTTGCAGAGGGACAAGGGAGGAAGAGTGTAGCGATAGGGGTTGTTGCGTTTAGATTGAGGGCGATGAAGGAGGGAAGATACTCGGTTAGAGTAGAGAGGAAAAAGAGAGAAAAAGAGGAGAGAAGGAGACGCGTGCAGAAATTCGCGTAGGCGGATTGGGGGTAATTAAAGAAGTAACGGATTAAAAGAGCACCGGGAGAGGAAGAGGAGAAGAAGAGGAAGAAGAGGGTAGAATTAAGACAGTAATTGTAATTAGAGTTATATACGGCTCTCCTTGACTTACACTACTCTCGTTCTGAGGGTTTCGTGAGAATAGCGGCGCCGATTGGTCCCGTATAACTTGCACTCTCTGTTTAACTTTCGCAGCGAGCGTTTTGCGCGTTCTGCCAGGATCGGATTTGGGGACTAGGTCGACAGGGATTCAAGTGCATCCAATGCAAGCTACTGGTCCACAAGAAATGCCACAAGGTGGTGAGGAAGTCGTGCCTCAGCACGCAGCAACAGCAACAAATGCCGAGTACGGAGGCACAAACGATCGACAGAAACGGCGATCAACAACAGCTTGATTCCGTTCAATGCAGTCCAGTTGCTCATCTCGAAGATGAGATCTCAGAGTCGCCCATCATCGAGGAGCATTCACGAAATCGTAAGGGCGTCTTTGATCGTCTTGCGTCGAGGGCGTAGAGTCTGCAAATTTAGTTTTAAACGGACTATATTCAGTTTTGAATGGACTGAATTGTTTCATCTCATTTTCGATGCCTACTAATTTGCCGTTCGTCAATATGGTTTTAACTTTGCACGAGAAGGAGATGGGAGTCTTTAAAGATTTAAAGTGGTCAGGTTATTACAGGATTGTATATGATTGTAGGAACCGGAAGCGAAGAGAGGGAGGAATTGCCGCTGGATACGCTAAACGATGCGGATAACTCGAATGATATGCAGAGGCAATACTCATTAAATGATTTCGAACTGATTAAGGTAATCGGTCGTGGTTCCTACGCTAAAGTTTTGATGGTGGAACTGAAGCGTACAAAGAGGATTTACGCGATGAAAGTGATCAAGAAAGCCTTGGTGACGGACGACGAGGACATCGACTGGGTTCAAACAGAGAAACACGTCTTCGAAACTGCCTCAAATCATCCATTCCTTGTGGGGCTGCACTCATGCTTTCAGACCCCCTCGCGATTATTCTTCGTGATCGAATTTGTACGGGGCGGTGATCTTATGTTCCACATGCAGAGACAACGTCGTCTTCCGGAAGAGCACGCTCGGTTCTACGCAGCTGAAATTAGCCTCGCCTTAAACTTTTTACACGAAAAGGGTAAATATTCGAAAAATAGTATGAATACTGCTTCAAGAATTTTATGACAAATACGCTTTTCCAGACAAATATGAAAGTATCGTGTTAGCAAAATTGACACATCAATGCATTAATTTATACGCAAATTTTATAGAATCGTCATTTTATATGCAACGAGCTGAGATAACTTGTTTATGACTGTACAATGATATATGACTAAATTCAAACAAGAAATTGTTTCTTAATCTCTCATTGCTGCTACAAGAATAGAAATTGATTCATGGTAATTTTTTTCCTACAGGTATAATATACAGAGATTTAAAATTGGATAATGTACTACTCGATCACGAAGGGCACGTTAAATTAACTGACTATGGAATGTGCAAAGAAGGTGTCCGTGAGGGTGACACAACTTCCACATTCTGCGGCACTCCAAATTATATTGCTCCTGAAATATTACAGGGTGATGATTATAGCTTCTCTGTAGATTGGTGGGCACTTGGAGTACTTTTGTACGAAATGCTTGCAGGGCGTAGCCCATTTGATATCGCAGGCGCATCAGAGAATCCCGATCAAAACACCGAAGATTATCTGTTCCAAGTTATTTTAGAGAAAACAATTCGTATACCTAGGTCATTATCAGTAAAAGCGGCTTCTGTTCTTAAAGGTTTCCTTTGCAAAGATCCTACTAAAAGATTAGGTTGCGGTAAAAGGCCAACAGCTTTCCTTGATATCGTCGCTCATCCTTTCTTTAAAGCAATTGATTGGGAAATGGTAATTATTGCAATATATTGAATTCGCACGATGTTAGCGTTAGAACAGTATGATTCTTATATTATTCGTTTCACCTACAGTTGGAACAGAAACAAGTTACACCGCCTTACAAACCACGTTTAGATTCTGATCGTGATTTAGCCAACTTCCCACCAGAATTTACAGATGAACCCGTTCATTTAACGCCAGATGATCCGTAAGTTTATAACTGTAAATTTTTCGTCTAGTATATGTACCTACAAGTATATAATATTACTGATAGATATAAATGTCTTCCAGGAGGGTAATTGACAAGATCGATCAGAGTGAATTCGAAGGCTTTGAATATGTGAACCCGTTACTCATGTCTCTGGAAGACTGCGTGTGACAAGAACCGCTCGTTATTGTGCAACGTCACAATGAACACCAACAGCAATTGCAGCCGTGTTACATGTATGAATTACAAGACAAACTTGCGATGCTTCGTATTGATCCTCTATTGAACATCAGCTCAAGAAATCGAGGTTATCACAACAACGTTTTTTTAATGACGTACTCCGAAGAGAATGAGAACGACAATAATTATAACGAATATCGGTTATCGCCACCTTTTCCATTCCGATACGAAAGTCCGATATGCTCCAGTTCTCTAAGTATCACAGATGTTACTTACGGCTCTAGCAATAACAATGAGATCATTAGTAACTATGGTCAACACAATTACGATGATGAGGAAGATGAAAGTCCAAAGAAAGGACTCTTGAAGCAAATGTTTTGCCTTCCATTAAATTAAGCTAAATAAGGCTTGTTTAATATTACAAGATTGCCTCTAATCAATAGTTAATATAAATTTTGTAGATTGCAAGAGATTTGAAAACCTGTAACAATGTTGAAGTTTACAGAATTCTTGTATTAAGTATTGGAACAAAAAAATACTTAATTTGCGCCACGTATTATATGATCATGTTGACTCTTCTTTCACATGGTGCTGCAGCCAAGCGTATTAAAGGAGGTTTTATATAAAACTGTGCTGTTGGCCGTTTCGTGTTAGAGCAGGTTTCGTAAGCAGATTTAAGAGTTAACTATCATAGCAATACCCATAGTTGAAGAAAACGAAAAAGAAGAAAAACAACAGAGAAAGAAAAGACGATATAGTGTTTATCCGTTGTAGTATAAGAATAAAGAGAAAGGAAAATTTAATACATACAAGCAATTAATACATCATGAAGAAAAGTCTCATGAATATTTTAGAATGATACCACATAATACTTATTACTGTAAGAGAAATATGAAATTTGCAATATAGCACGGATGGGACACTTTCAAAAGTTCATACGCATCCGTACTATAGCAGTACCTTTCTGTGGCTCGGCCGAGAAATCGGAAAAATATCGGAGGCTATCGAATACAACTGAGGTACGTCGGAGCCACGGATAGTAATGTATATAGTACGGATGATGTATAAACAGTTATATCGAATACTATGATGATCGATTCATTAAAAATCGGGACACGAAACGGACACGGCATGGTGTTCTATAAATGGACCTTGATGGGTATTATTTTCAGCTATTTTTAGATGAGAAATTAATTAAAACGGAAAATGTACCTGACTGCTTCGATTAATCTCGTAGATAATATGTTATTCCGTTATGCAGTCGTTCTATTAAATATTTACAAGCATTATACGATTCTATTATATCGCTTGCATGAACGTATTCATTGAAACAATAGCAACAATATATTTCTAACAAACTAATATCTATTTAAGAAGAACACTGTATATTATAGATTAATTACGTTTTAAAAAGAATACAGAAAACGTACGTATATTTCTAAAAGAACTAATTTTTTTCTACATT